CTGCGACCGTAGAAAGTTACCTGCGATTGCAGATAGTCACCTGCGACTGCAGTGCTGGCAGATCGCGCGCAGTGCAACGCTGGCAGGTCACTCTGCTGCAGCGTTGGCGAGCCGCTCTTCTGCTGCGCTGGCAGAGTTCGCCCTTGCTAGGAGTTCCATGCCATTCTAGTCCTTTTGTTTCTGTATGCCTCATTGTTGCTCTCTATTCTTTTCTTTTCCTATCAACTTTGTTAATGCACGTTGTTCTTTCCTTAGTGGAATTCTTGCCAAACTTCTCAGTGAACATAGCAAGCAGTAAGAACGTTAGCATAGCGCTACGATCACTCGCACAACCCCGTGCCCTCCTCCGTAGTCCACTCCCGTTGTGTAGCGACTCTCCGCACTTGTGTCCAGGGTCGGCTTCGTGCCACCCCTCACTCCTCCTCCCTTCATCCGGCCACCGAGCCCTTCCAGACACTCCACTTAGACGTCTGGGGCCCCGCCTCCCGCCTTGGCCCTGAGCGGGAGAGTTTCTTTCTGGTGGTCGTTGACGATTACTCTCGGTACACCACCGTGTTCCCCTTGGCGAAGAAGTCCGACGTGACTTCTACGCTGATCCGGTGGCTCCTCGCCACCGAGGGCACTCGTGGTCGTCGTGTCAGTTGTCTCCACTCCGACCGTGGGGGTGAGTTTCGCTCCGGCATTCTCGCCAGATTCTGTGCTGAGCAGGGCATCACCCAGTCCTGGACTCTTCCAGACTCTCCACAGCAGAATGGGGTTGCTGAGCGCCGCTTAGGCCTGGTCATGGAGATCGCCCGCACCTCCATGATCCACGCCCGCGCGCCCCATTTTCTGTGGCCCTACGCGGCTCGGTACGCCGCTCACCAGCTGAACCTCTGGCCTCGCGTCTCTCGGCCAGGGGCTTCACCGACCAGTCTTTGGACAGGGTCTCCTGGTGTTGCGTCGAGGTTTAGTGTCTGGGGCTGCTTGGCTCTTGTCCGCGACACCTCTGCGGACAAGATCTCGCCTCGCGCCGTCCCCTGTGTCTTCCTTGGTTTCCCAGAGGGCTCCTCTGACTTCACCTTTTACCACCCACCCTCCCACCGGTTCTTTGACTCTCGTGACGTCCGTTTCGACGAGTCCGTCCCCTACTACGTCAGGTACCCCTCTCGAGGTCTCCCGGTTCCCCCCCCTCCCCTCTTCCTGGCTCCAGCTCCTCCTCCTCCCGACCCTACTCCTCCGGTACCCCCCCCTGTTCCCGCTCCGTCTGGTGTGTCCCACGCTACTCCCCCTCCCTCGGTACCCCCCCAGGTCTCTCCTCCTTCCCCACAGTCGTCCTCACCGCCTCCGCAGCAGCCGTCGCCGCTTCCTTCACCGGCCACTGCGGACTCTGAGGGTGTTGGTGCTCGAGGAGAGGGCTCTGGCGGTGCTCGCTCTGGGGGTGCTGGCGTTGGAGCTGTTCGTGCACCTACAGGAGCAGCCAGTTCTGGGGGTGTTGGCGTTGGCGCTGAGCGTGCACCTGCCGCAGCTGCCCGTTCCGAGGGTACTGGAGCTGGTGGTGGTGCTGGAGCTGGTGGTGGTGCTGGAGCTGGTGGTGTTTCTGGAGCTGGAGAGTCTGGGGCTGGTGCTGGTGCTACTGGGGGCACCACGGCTGGGGGTGCGGGTACACCTCCCACAGATGCTGGTCGTGCTGCCGCGAGGGGTCCTCGCTCTGGGGGTGCTCAGCCGGGTTCTGTCGAGGGCGGAGCAGGTTCTTCTTCGTCGTCTCCTGACACCACTCCTCCTCCTCACCCTTACCCGACTCGACACCAGGCCCGTCTTCGTCTTGAGCGTGAGGAGCAGCAGCGTTTGGAGCGTGAGAGGTTGGAGGTTCAGCAGCGGGTGGAGCGTGAGAGGTTGGAGTTGCAGCGAGAGCAGCAGCAGCAGCAGCAGCAGCAGCAGCAGCAGCCGCCGCCGCCGCCGCCGCAGCAGCAGCAGCCGCAGCAGCCGGAGCAGCCTCCGGCACCTGTTTCTGGCTTTCGAGCTCTTGGTCTCCCCTCCTCTCCTCCTGTGTTCGGTCCTACGTTTCCTCCTCCGGACTCCACTCCGGCTGTCTTCCCTCGTTCTCGGTCTCCTCCGTCCCCCCCTCCTCTCGCCCACACTTGGGCCTCTCGTCCTCCTCGTGCTCGTCCCTCGTCCCCTGTCACTGACCTCCGTACCGTGTTGTTTCGTCCTAGTCCTCCTCGTTCTCCTCCGTCTGTCCTTCCTCGTCCTCCTGAGTCGTCCCTCACTGCCTCCCTGTCCACTCCGGTCACTGACTACTACCGCGCGTACCGCCCCACTCTCTCTCGTGTTCTCGCCTCTCTTGTTACAGACCCTCGTGCCTCTCCTTCCTCCGTCGCGGTCCTCACTGCCGCTGTCACTGACTTTACTGCTACGCGTCGCCTTGACTACGCCACTCGTGTTGTGGCCGCTCCTCCTGTCCGTCCTCTGTCCGCCGGGGGTGAGTCTGCCCTTGGCTGTGACGTCCTAGAGGACAGACAGTTTGAGCTAGAGTTCCTGGCAGCTGCTTCGCCTCATCTCTGTGCCATGCTGCTCACTCCTGAGGGAGACCCCGACGCTCCTGACATACCTACTCCTCGCACCTACGCTGAGGCAGTGTCAGGGCCTTGGGCCTCTCAGTGGAGAGCTGCCATGGATGCAGAGATGGCCTCCTACAGATCCACAGGCACTTACGTTGACGAGGTTCCCCCCCCAGGGGCGAACATCGTTGACGGCATGTGGATCTTCAAGGTGAAGCGGCCGCCGGGATCTCCCCCAGTCTTCAAGGCACGCTACGTGAGGGTTCAGTCAGCGTGAGGGAGTTGACTTCTTTCAGACCTTCGCGCCCACCCCGAAGATGACCACTCTTCGGGTGTTACTACACGTAGCAGCGCAGAGAGACTACGAGCTTCACTCTCTTGACTTCTCCACTGCCTTCCTCCAGGGCCGCCTACACGAGGAGATCTGGCTGCGTCGTCCTCCGGGCTTCACTGGCACTTTCCCGCCTGGCTAGAGGGTTCAGTCAGCGTGAGGGAGTTGACTTCTTTCAGACCTTCGCGCCCACCCCGAAGATGACCACTCTTCGGGTGTTACTACACGTAGCAGCGCAGAGAGACTACGAGCTTCACTCTCTTGACTTCTCCACTGCCTTCCTCCAGGGCCGCCTACACGAGGAGATCTGGCTGCGTCGTCCTCCGGGCTTCACTGGCACTTTCCCGCCTGGGACCCAGTGGAGCCTCAGACGACCGGTCTACGGTCTCCGCCAGGCACCCCGTGAGTGGCACGACACTCTCCGCTCTACTCTCTCCGACCTCGGGTTTGAGCCGTCTTCCGCTGACCCGTCGCTGTTTGTTCGTCGTGGGCGCACACCTTTCTTCGTTCTGGTCTACGTTGACGACTTGGTTTTTGCCACAGCCGACACAGCTGCACTGGCGGAGGTGAAGTCCGAACTGCAGAAGAGACACACCTGCACTGACCTTGGGGAACTGCGCCGCTACCTTGGCCTGCAGATCTCCAGGGACAGAGCCGCTCGCACCATCACTCTGACTCAGTCACACATGGTGCAGCAGGTCCTTCAGCGGTTCGGGCTTCAGGACTCTTCTCCTGCCCCCACTCCTCTTGCTGTAGACCACAGACTCACTGGGCCTTTTCCTGACGAGCCGTTCGAGCCCAGTGGTCCCTACGCAGAGCTGGTGGGCTGCCTCATGTACCTGATGACGTGCACTCGCCCGGACCTCGCCTTCCCTCTTAGCATCCTGTCTCGCTTTGTTGCGACTGGGAGACACCGTCCTGTTCACTGGGCGGCGGCTAAGAGGGTGGCGAAGTACCTTGGCGCGACATCAGGCATGGGGCTTGTACTTGGAGGGACACAGCCAGTTGTACTCACCGGTCACTGCGACTCCTCCTACGCCGACGACGTTGAGACTCAGAGGTCTACGCAGGGTTACTGTTTCAGCCTGGGTTCTGGAGCTGTTTCGTGGAGGTCTACTCGGTCCTCCTCGGTTGCGACTTCTACCGCAGAGGCCGAGATCTACGCTGGGGCCCTTGCTGCTCAGGAGCTACGCTGGTTGACCTTTCTGCTCACTGACCTTGGTGAGCGGCCGAGCTCTGCACCGACCCTGTTTGCTGACAACAGGGCGATGATTCTCCTGTGTCGTGAGCCTCGACTGGAGAGCAGAGTGAAGCACATCGACGTCAGGTACTTCCTCCTTCGAGAGTTGCAGAGACGCGGGCAGGCTCGTCTGGACTTCGTGGCCTCCGAGGCCAACACTGCAGACATCTTCACCAAGGCTCTTCAGCCTTGTGACCACCGCCGGTTCTGTCTGCAGTTGGGCCTCGTTGAGACTGGGTCGAGTAGACTTCAGTAGTGAGTGCTTGTCTTTTGTCCTTGCTTGTACTGCATATAATTGCATATACACTCTTGAACTGGCCTTGTGGCCGCTGTTTGCGCTCAGACTGTGTGGTGACGTTGTGATCCACCTTGAGCTTGTTTTGTCTTTTGTTTGTGACTGGTCTTGTGACCTTAGGTTGCGTTTCTTGTTGCTTGGCATTCCCCACTTAGGCTATGGGGGTGTGTCAAATGTTATAGCCTATTGTGGGTCATGCTATATGGGGTACAAACAGTTAGGGTTAGGCATATGTACCCCAACCCAATCAATGCTACTCATTCCGCTGTAGTCTGTTTCTGAGACGAACAATGGGCGACTTCTGATATGTTTGTGCACATCACCCTACCCAGCCGTTCTACATTGTAGCTGTAAAGGTCCAAATCGCACAATCCAATCAACTCGGCCGTACTTCTGGGTCACACTAGTATTTACCAATGCCTCGTGGCACATCGCATCGGTTTATCCCCCACCAAGAACAATGACTCTCCCGTTGCCAAGAAGCCTTGTGTTGTCACGGATGGGTCTGATGATGGTAACCCTGGGACCTCCGCGGCTGTTTCGGCGACGCCCCCGAATGCGCGCACTGTATCAGCCCCTCCGCAGGGGCAGAACATGCTGGCGCAATCTGCCCTCAATCCCGGGGCGCAAGTCAATCAGCCCCCCTCCGTGCCTGCTGCTCCCAGCCCCGAGCCTGCCACGGCTTCCCCGTCAGCCCCTCCGCCTACTCAGCCGGTTCCCGTGACTGGGGCTGCCCCGGTGCCTGGGGCAGATCAGCCTCCACCACCCCGCCCCCTCCGCCGCCCGCGTTTGGCCGTTGCGGGCTCGGCTACTCTCCCCCGCCTTCGTCGGGCGGTGGTCACCCTTCTGCTGCCGGAAGCTGGTGCTGACGCGAATCGGGCTGACATTTCAGTCCGGCTGTCTGCCCTTCTCCGGGGACACATGTTCCCGAACGGAACCATCCCTCCTTACGAAGCTACGCCTGGTGAGGCTCTCCGGGTCCCGCGACGCTCGTACGCCTGGCTTCTGTTCTCCTGGCCCTCTGCCGACGACGCTGCGGCGTTCCGCCGCCTCTTCCCGCTTTCCCTAAGGCTTGCCTCCTCCCGTACCGTTCTTCTTAAGGCGTATGACGACCCCCATCCGGAGTTTACCGCCTCCAAGACCAATGGCGTGTACACTCTCTGTCCGCAACGTTCCTATTGGTTACGATCCGGAAGACATTAAAGAGTTCCTTCTGAACGCCACGACGGAGGATGGCCTGCCGTGGCTTGAGGACCTCCAGCACTTCCACCGGGTCTCGGATCCCTTCGAGGGAGTGGCCTTCACGATTATGGATGGACTGCCGGTACCATGCCCCGACGACCCCACCTTCAAACGCATTCCGGCGTCCATCCCCCTGGAGGAAGGAGGCCTCCCTATGCTGTTCAACTTCTCGTCTCATGCGTGCTCCTTCTGCGCGAGCAACCATCGGGATGCGGATCATGAGTCTTTTGCGGCGCGCCGTAGGCAACGCCTCCCCAACAAGCAAACTATATCGGTTGGCCAGCTTCAGCAAACCAATGGTGTGTATTGCCGTACCATCACATACTATCTCTGCCCTACTTCTGTCCTATGTTCTTTCACCATAACCGACTCACTCCCCCCTTTGTATCAGAAACTCATGCCTCCTTTTTTCTGCTGCCCCCCTTTACACTTGCTCCATCTGCCTCACCCAGGCCCTCTGATTTTCCTCATCCACAGAGCCACTCCCCTGCCCCCCATTTCTAGTTCTGACTTATCTCGTGGAGGTGACCATTTTTTGCCAATGAGCTCCTCCCCACCTGCCCGCATGAGGCATATGATGCCTTGTCGGCACTCCCATCTCACACCTGCCATATTTCTAAGATGTTTCCTGGTGTTTCACCTTTTCCCTGGGGTTATGGCCTTGTTCCATGCAACTTCCACTCCTCTTTTGCTCCCCAATATCCCCTGCGATCTGTCCCGCCTTCGGTGCTGCCCCTGGGCCCTGTGCTTTTCCAGCCCCCTCTCTTACACTTTCCACCCTCTGTGTTTTCCCCAGCCCTCTCTTTCATCTGCCCCCAACAGTTTACCCTTGGCGTGGTCATTAAATTACACCCCCACCATGTCCACTTAATCTTCTCCTTGCAGCTCCGCCTCTCGCAGACAATGTTGCCCTTGTTTTTCTACACCAGCCCTCTCTTACCCATGTCGGAGTTTCGAGGTTCCTCCAAATGCTATCCCCCCTTTCGTACCACCTACTCCCATGTGGCTGTTTCTGGTTCCTTGCTTTCAACCCATGGCAGGCCAGATCTTTGGCGCACATGCTGTACCTGTGTCGTTTCGCAACGACCCTGGCCTGCTCTTCATTGGGCTCGACTCGCTTGTCGAACCATGGACTTGTGTCCTCTGCGATTTTTGCTGCGGAATGGCTCTCGACAGCGCTATGGCTCACATGGCTTCTGGTCAGCACGCCTCGCAGCTGCGCGCCACCTCCCATCTCCCTCCGGCCAAGGAAAAGTACAGCACTTGGCGTGCGTTAACCCTGCTCGTGCAGCCGCGCATTGCAGCCTTCATGCGTGCTTGAATCTAAGGAAATTTTCAGCATGTGCCTCATGGATTAGCTCAGTACCTAGCTCTGGTCCGTTGCGCCCTCTGGATAGCTCCACCCCTATCGCCCTATGGTTGAACCCGCACCACAACCCGTGTGGGCCTTCCTTCCCCCGTGGATCCGCACTACAACCAGTGCGGGGGGGCTCATGTGTGCAATCATGAAAACCTTCCTCCGCATTCTTACGCTCAATGTTAATGGAATCAATCACCCCTATAAAATGAATTGTCTCAAATATTGGATTTCTTCGCAACCTGCCAAAATAGATATTCTTGTTCTCATAGACACGCGCCTTTCAAACAACCTCCCCAAGCTACAAGTTACATTCCGCCCTGCAGCACATTTATATGCCGCTGCTCCTTGTACATCGTCGCATCCTTCTCCCGGTGGAATATCAGTTTTAGTTTTTCGTAAGGATATCACTATCTCCTCCCATGAACCCTCAACGGATGGGAGACTCCTCCTTGTCCACCTGAACTACCTCAATGAACAATTTCGGCTGCTTGCGCTCTACGCTCCGGTCTCGACGCTAGAACGACGCTGCTGGTGGCACTCTACCCTCTCCCCGTCCCTGGCGGCACCCTCAGCTGCCCCTTATACCGTCATCGTGGGGGATTTTAACTCAGTCGACTCTGGGACGGACCGTAACCGGGCCCTTCATGGTTACGAGCGTAGTGAGGCATCCTTATTCTCTGCCCTTATGTCGCAACACTCTCTTTTGGACGCCTTCCGGATCCTTCATCCCAACGTTACCCTCTTCTCTTACTTTGGCCGCTCTCGTATCACCCCAAGCCCCTCCTCACCCCTCCCCGCCGCTCGTCTTGATCGCGTATATATATCCGCCTCGCTTCGGCCCCGCCTCGCCGCATCTCCCTATCTTCTCATTCCTTCTGGCGTCTCTGACCACGCGCTTGCCCCGCTCTGCTCTCTCCTCTTTGACAATCCTGCTGTCGTTCCTCGCCCGTGGCGCTTCAGCACATCCTTGCTGACCCGCCCCAACACCTCGCGCATCATAGACGATCATATCCGTCTCCTCCCCTCCTCCTTTTCCCCCATTGACTGGGACCTGTGGAAGTTTCGCCTTTGCCTCGCCCTAAAGCGTTTCTCCTCTCTGGAACGGCGTCGTGTGGACAAGGCCATTGTGCATCTCCGTCACCTAATCTGCTCTCTACAACACCGAGCCTCTTCGGTCCCCCCCGATCCCTCGGTCACCGTACCGTTGCTTCGAGCCAAATAACAACTCGTAGCATATGAAACCACCAAAATATCTGAAGTAGCTCTGAAAGCAAAACTGAAAGTGAAACCCATCGGGAAATGGGTTTATCATCCCTCCTTGTTGGGCTCGGCTCCCGTACCAAAGCGGCTCTTATCTCGTCTATCATCCTCCCGAATGGTCAGACAACATCGCACCTCCCCACCATGACTGCAGTTTGCTCTACATTTTTTAAATCCCTCTATAGTGGCAATACCTATACCTTACGTGACGAGTCCTTCTGGCAACACGTGCCTCGTACTACCCTCCCTTCACCACTCTCCTCTACTCTGGCAGCCCCGTTTACTTTACTCGAAATAAGCAAAGCCATCTCTATGCTTTCTCGTGGGAAAACCCCGGGTCCGGATGGCCTCCCAGGCAAGCTATATCGCCAACTTAAGCCCCGATTTGCCCCACTTTTTCACTCCCTACTTAATCCCCCCGTCCCCTTCACCTCCCTCCCACCTTCTATGCTTCGTGGCCGGACTGTCCTCATTCCTAAAAAGGGCGACTCCTCTCGCCCGGACAATTTGCGCCCTATCACTCTCATGAATGCAGACTACAAAATTCTTGCGATTCGCCTTGCGAATCGCCTCCAACGAGCCCTCCCGCTTATGATTCACCCTTCTCAAACGGCTTTTATGCCCAAGCGGAAGATCGGTGACACAATAAATGATATTCTCGACATTATGGACTGGGCCACCTTTTCTGAGTCTCCCCTACTCGTCCTCACTGTTGACCTGCGCAAGGCTTACGACTCGGTTGATCGTCCCTTTCTCTTTCGCTGTCTCGCACATTTGGATATCCCTGATGAATTTATCCATTGGGTTCGCTTGATGCACTCCGGCACATCGACCTATATTGCGGTGAACAATCTCGAAGGCCCCCTCTTCCCAGTCAATACTGGGGTTCGTCAAGGCTGTCCCCTGGCGCCCCTCCTCTTCATCTGTGTTGTAGAAATATTCTACCGCTTCTCGGCGGCCCACCTTCCTGGCTTTGCTCTCTCAAAAACTCAGCGTCGCCTTATGGCCAGCTACGCGGACGACATTACCATGTTCCTCAACTCGAACGCAGAGCTGGACTCCGCCCTAATAGTGCTCTCTCAATTTGCCTCAATATCCGAGGAATTCCCTAATTGGGAAAAGTGCTCGCTCATCCCTTTCAATCTTCCACCGCAATCTATCTCCTCTGCCGGGCCAATTCCTATACGCAAACCCCATGAAGCAGAACGTATCTTAGGTATTTTAGTCGAACTAGACTCCCCGGGCACCACTACGTGGGCAAATACACTCACGCGAGTCCAACGCATCGCTAAATACCTCTCGTCCCTGCGTGCCACCGCCACGTGCCGGAAAAACCTATCCACGACATTTCTCAACTCAGTCATTTCGTTCCCGGCTCGATTCCAGCCAACCTCGAAGGATATCCGCACCCGCCTTGATCAAACGGTTGGGAACTTTCTCTCTGCTTCACAATACAAAGACCACGGACTCGGTGTTCGGCTGATCCCAAGGAGGCTGCTCTATAATAAAGTGCATCATGGTGGCTTGGGCGCGATCGCCCCCTCCACACAAATCCGTGCCCTCTCGATTCAAAGGGCTCTGCGTCGGTTTGGTGCCTCTTCTGCGGAGTCCATTGCCCGCACATGCATTCCGCTTCCATACGGCGCACATGCCTTCCTGGCTCATGCTTCGATCTTGCACAAGTCGGTGCTCCCACCCTCTACTCCCCGCCGCATCCGTGATGAGTTGGAAAAAATCCTGTCCCTCAAGCCAACTGTCCTTCCCCCTCGCCTCGAGCCGCGGTGTCTGCTGGCAGAGCCTCTTGCGTTTAACCGTTTCATCCTTAAACCCAATAAAATCCCCTTTGGCACTCGTAAGCATGAGCGTTTCTTGTTTACGCTCCAGCTTCGTGTTGGGCACATTTTCCGTTCTAACCACCCTGCTTGTCGTCCCATCACTGAGGAGGAATTTATCCAGCAGTGGCCCCCCTTTGAATACCCTTCTGGCCGTAGCCTACTGGGAAAAATTCTCCTCGCGATACCGCCTGAGTGGAAACGCACCCTCCTTTCACCCCCTCCCCCAGAGGTTGCATTAGGGGATTGGTTTATTCGAACTCATAGCCTGGCAGATCGACCGCTCTTGGCATTTGAGGCCCTCGCCTTCACCCCCCCTTCTTCCCTATATGCTCGGATTTTTCGAGTACCTCCCTCCAACCTTATTGACAAGGAACCACTAGACATTATGACCTTCGATATTAATCATGTGTTACCAGTTCATGTACAGGGTAGACGACTGCTTGGACCGTTTCACGAAGGGACAGGTTTAGGAGCAAGACTGGCGATCCTCTCAGATGGTCCTCCTC